TTTAATTCTACTAGTATTGCTTCTAACAATATAAATGATATTAGTAGTAACACTACTACCATTACTTTTTTAGTAGTACAAGTACTTGTTCATTTGGAATGAATCCATTAGTATGAGTACACATAATTTGCCAAAATTTGGTCCACTTTACCTGGGCCCTCTGTTAGTTTTAAAGGAAGACAGTCACCAACCAAGATCAGGGTTTCCCATATTTTTTCCCATATTTAAACAAAGAGAAAAAAGAGATTATTGTCAGCCAATATCATCTTTGTTTCTCTTTGCAAGAAAATTGACAAATCAAAAAGAAACAAGGAGAAGCAATATTCTCTTTGTTTCTCTTTCTTGTTTAAATAGTATAAAGAATCAAAGAAAGATAATATTGCTTGGGAAATATTCTATTTGTTTCTCTTTCTCAGAACAGGAATTACCCCCATAATTTCACCATGTAAAAATACAGAGAATAGTCCCTAGATTATATTCACTCTGCTTAAACGAAGAGAAAGCAACAATGATGACGAGAACATTGCCCACCACCAGGCACCAATATTCTTTTTGTTTGTTCTCCTTATTTAAACAATGTATTTAAACAATGTGAAACAAAGAGATATGAGGAGAGGCAATATTCTCTTTGCACTCTTAGTTTTAATTTGTTACAGCAATGAGAAACAATGAGAATATTGCCCTTCTACTCAAAGAGAACATTCTCTTTGTCTTTCCTTGTTTCAAGGGGTGTACGGGAAACTATTTTATTTTAAAAAATGTTCTAACTGAGGACCCAGTAGATTCGTTATGTACAGGTCATGCTCGGAGAGCATGTTCGCTGGTACGTAAGTACTTCTTCCCGAAGATTTTTCAGCGATTGCCTATTAATATCGCCCAATCAATCATCTGCTCAGCTCCCATCGTTTTTTGATTGGTTAATAAGTTTGTCGAATCAAAGAATAGAACGATTTTTCGTATTTGCACGCAGCGATGTCGTGTCTACGCAACACTGCTCGGAGTCGCAGTCATAAGTAGTACGTCTTGGTCTCCTTCAGCGCGCAAACCAGAAACTGTTATTGTTTCTTTGGCCAAACCGCGCGAAGCATCAAGTATCCACAATCCACGCAGGGAGTTTCGTACGTTAGTTCGTACTTGTACAGTGGAGATTTCGGATAGAATCCTATTGGTTGTTCTATTCTGCGAATATCGTTGGAAGAAGTTTGGAAATCTCGAATGTTCTCTTACGTTACTTATTACTTTCAACTTCAGTCACCAACATCTAMTCATTGATTAAATATTTTTCAAAATAAAACACGACCATGAGTGCAACGACTTCCATAATGTTGCGGAAAGCAACGCAAAAAGCTCTATGTTTGTCAGAGATTGTCGGGAATAACAAGTCAAGGATACTGCGGGCGACCTATACCTCATGGGGGAGCAATAAGTTTCCTTTCTCCACRATAACTTCGTCACTAAGGGATCAAGARTGTTTAGTCCGAGATTCTTCCTCGTCCCATCCGCGATCCAGCAACTTTTCAACCTCTAGCACAAAGCATCCAATTCCAGAACCATTACCTGCTGTAGCTTACGACTATATTGATGACGACGACCATGCAGACGTTGGAAGAGAACACGACCTTGACCGTAGTCCCATCAACACAAATCAAGATACCGCGAAACCAAGTACGCAAGATGTCACCTGCGCAGGAAAGGATGACGTCAACTACGGAATTTCACGTAGAAATTCCACTACCAACGGTGCCGTGGAAAAATTGAATCACATGATCATGGAAAATACATCAGTGTCAGCGAAAAACGACGCTGCTGCTTCTGATCCTTCTTCCTTTTCTATTTTTAAATCAATACAACATGCTACTGCCACTAGTAGTAACAGCGGTGGCAGTAGCGGTAATGGAATTGGAGGTGGTGACGACGCACCCTATCCGCCTCCGTCTGAGGGCCACGGGGGGAAGCCCTCTACGTTTCGCAAAGGAAGCGGCGGTGGGGGCGGAAGGCATCGTTGCCCCAAATGTGGTGCCGATGTTACATTCAAGTGCAATTTTGAGGACAATTCCTTTTACTGTGCTCATTGTGCCGGGTGGTTCGCTGGGACCCGCCCAATCGAGGCGGCCAACCATCAGGATCAACAGCAGAACCTGTCRGCAACGGATCCTCGCAGTGGTCCTACCTACGACCAACAATTYGCTAGAGATATGATGAAGAAAGTTCCTGGCAACCCTGGAAGTGATCAGGAAATAATCATGCGCCACGTAYGTTAGAAGTTCTTGTTGTTTTGAAACATGTTTGAAACTCTAGTCAAGTCAACATCAGTAATCACTCACAGAACATTTCTCTGTTTTCCATCACTCTCTACGATCATTTGATGCATATATTTTCACTTTGTAGATTCCTGACAGTCCTAGGCGATATAATGTAAACGTCAAGGAAGGTAATGGTCGCCAGAACAGCAACATCGACCACACACGCATTGAAAACAACCAGTTGCCGCCAAACGCAGTGGACCAGATGCAGAATCCCCCTACTGCCGAACGCATACCTACACCTCGGGAAATTCGAAAGGGCCTTGATGAATATGTAATTGGTCAGAGTGACGTCAAGGTGGCGTTGTCAGTGGGAGTTTACAATCATTACAAAAGAATCTCTGTTGTGGAAGCGAAGGCAGCAAACGAGGCGAGACGGGCAGCTCTCGATAGCCAAGAGGACTACAMCTTTTCACAGATGCAGCAACAACATCATCCCAATAGAGACTTGTCRGATTTAAATCTAACACAGTTTGGTACRAGCAAAAACAACACATCGGCGCACGCGACAACTCAGGACGTTAATAATATCGCTGATTCAGACTTTGCAACCCAGGTAGAAGAATGCGAAATTGACAAAAGCAATCTAATGGTCCTCGGTCCTACCGGAAGTGGAAAGACGCACTTGATCAAGACACTTGCACGTCTGATGGATGTACCTTTGGTTATTGCTGATGCTACTTGCCTCACACAGGCAGGTTACGTTGGAGAAGATGTCGAAAGCGTTCTGTTCAAGTTATACCTCGAAAGCGGACAAGATATCGAACGATGCCAAAAGGGAATTATCTATATCGACGAAACAGATAAGATCCGAAAGTCTGGTGGCAATGTGAGCATCAGTAGGGACGTGTCCGGTGAAGGGGTCCAGCATGCGCTCTTGAAAATTGTTGAAGGAAATGTCGTTAATGTCCCAAAGGTAAGGAAATAAATGCGAAAACACTGATTTTGGAACTTTTGAATTGCCGCTATTGACTCACTTCAATTTGACCGTTTGATTCGTCTTTTCCAACCTCAAGGAACCGGGTCGAAAGAACCCTCGTGGCGACTTCTTGCAAATCGATACCACAAATATTCTTTTCATTTGTGGAGGTGCATTTGCAGGTTTAGAGCGTATTGTCAACCATCGAACTAATGCCGCATCCATTGGTTTCGGTGCAGAGATGAAGAAAAAGATYGAGGATCCCAAAGTTCAAGGGCGATGCTTTGACAACGTGATTCCCAAAGATTTGGTAGAATTTGGCATGATTCCTGAATTTGTTGGGCGGTTCCCTGTTATCGTGTCCACTAAGGGCCTGGATCTTGACAACTTGGTTGACATTCTCACCGTCCCTAAGAACTCAATCATCAAACAATACAGGCGTTTGTTTGCGATCGACGATGTCAAGTTCCACGTAACTGACTGCGGCTTGAAGGAAATTGCGAATACTGCCTTCGAACGTGGTACAGGTGCCCGTGGTTTGCGTTCTATCACAGACCAGGTATTAATGGAAACACAATATGTGGTACCTTCTCTCTCTGATGTCCACACTGTTTATGTGGATGCTCCTGCAGTTCGTGGAGAGAGGAAACCTATTCTTTTGAAGGATGGAATGACTGTTGAAAAGTACGAGTCTTTGACTGAAGAGGGCGGTTCACAAGTTAGTGGAGCTGTACCCGTCTTCATCGATGACGACGACGAAATGGATAGTGAAGAAGCTGCGTAATTCAGTTGACAAACTTCCAAATCTAGATTCCATTACATTTTCGCCCTCTTTCAAGAATAGATGGGTGCTATCAGTATCTTCTTCTTTCTACGAATMGAATTTCAGACGACAACATTGACGTTTTCACCATACAAAAAAATACACCGCCCCTCAATGGTGAGATAACATCAGAMGAACTTTTTTTTGGCTCTTGGTGTTGGCTTCCTGAAATGTCACATCACGMACATATGATATTCGAAACTGTGAAGGAGAAAGACACGTTCGACAATGCTGGGACGAACCGCTGCTCTTCTTTTTCATACCATTGGTGTTGTAGATTTTTACAAACCATTATTAAACAATTCCAAAAAGAAATAGAGACACATCAAAATCATAACATACATCCAATACATCAACACAAGTATTTTATCGAAAGCATCATATTTATTTTTGTTCCCCAAGAAACGCGGAACTCCATTAATTCTACTACTGCATTCATTAATCAAACTGCCATTTTCAAGTCATACATTTACATCCCTTCGTAACTTTTTTTCTCCAGAAAAACAGAAAGGCAAATCAGGATTACTTCGAAAAGGACACTAATAAAATGTTCGTCTACTACCACCACTACTCTACTTCCGCCTGACAATTTGATGCTTTAATGGTGGTGGTGTTATGCCGAGAATTGTACCAGTAGTACCGTAAGGTAGGTACGAGTACTACGTTGTGCTTGTACCTTCATCTTTTTTGGTTTGGTAAGAATTTTGAATTTTATTTATCCTTTTTGCTTTGATCACGTGTTTGCGTGATTCATTCATCCTCTGTACGGTTTGTTTCTCGTACAAGTACTAGTAGATACATACAAGTCCGAGTACGGTATTCGTAGTTTCGATTCGAGACCTTTCTTTTGCCTTCGTTTCACGCACTCGACCGCCTCGTATCAAAAATTTATGGTATCACACGAAAAGGACTCAAAGCGATTGCATAGATATCATCATTAATGATACGAGTGCACTCTACAAGCCCCTTTTTAGTAAAGCACGTATTCCCAACAAACCGCTGGCGTAGCAATACAGAAGTTCGTAACATCATACTTCTTTGAAAGCAACATTTTAAACCATGGCGGATACAGTTTTCGCAGTTTCGTACGAGGGTGGAGTGGTAATTGCCGCAGACCAATCAAATGGCCGATCCATTCTCACTTACCAGAAAAATCTCGATAAAATTGCGAAGTTGACGGAGCATTCGATGATGGGGGTGTCAGGGGCAAATTGCGACTTGGTAAATTTCACAGAGTAAGTTATGACCTTTTCTGTGCTCGTTTTCATAAACTGGCACGAAAGAAAAAAAGGATTACCGAACAAAAAACTTCAAATGTATCGTACTTGCTTCAATCCTTAACGGAGACGTGCACTGACATCTGCTATTGTTATTCCTTCGCACCGAAGATACRTTGCAAAAAACATCAGTCTGTACGAACTCGCAAACGAGGGCACCAAACTGTCSACGCACGCCCAAGCTAACTTTGCTCGTGGAGAAATGGCTAAAGCTTTGAGAAAAGGACCTTTTCAAGTAAATGTATTACTCGGTGGATACGATGCGGGAAAGGGTGCATCGCTRTACTACCTGGACTATTTTGGYGCCCTCCATAAGGTGAAGAGTGGGGCACAAGGCTACGCTCAATATTTTTGCTCTTCGATCTTCGACAAGGAATGCACGGACAACATGACCGAAGATGATGCCATTAAGGTTGTTGAGAAGTGTATCAATGAAATGCAAACGAGATTTATGTTGAGCCAACCAAATTTTATCATTAAAAAGGTTGATAAAGATGGAGTGAGTGTTGTTTCCTTCGGCGAAGATCCTGCAGACACATAAAACACGACAATAGAGAGATACTATTTTTCAATTCATCCATCGCAGTGGTCACCGAATATTGGTACGAAGAACTGCATAATATTCTTCATGATATTAAACTGTATACCTACCATTTGACACATTTATTGTATGATCAGATCGAAAAATACAGGCTCTCAAGGAATGTGCCGAACATAACAATGCCTGTGACGGTCGTACAGCATCGCACAGGTTTGAGTTAAAACTTTTTCGAAATGTTTGCTATTGACAACAGTGCTATCTTTTGTTTGATACAATTTCCATTGTACATCAGATAACAGCCATTCCTTCTTATTTGACGTGAGGTACTAGTAGTAGATGGTTCCGGTGGTGGCCTTCGTACCATCACGAACAATGAGGAGGATACCCTTACTTTTCTTGTGAAAGACAAGAATGATATCATTCTTGTGTTTTCTTTCCAGTGACTTTCCTTTTCTTTGAAATATTCAATACATGCAGTATGTTAAAAGCAACTTACTTGTTTGGACGATGTTGCAACAATCTCTACTATTTCATAGTGCCAGTTCTCCAGTACAATGCTTTGATGAGAGGACCCTCAAATGAAACCTAGTAGTGATCCCTGGTTGAAAAATAATTATTGTGTGAAGAACCTGGCTGGAAACTGGTGAGCAAAATTTTCAATTGTCAAATATCATCAGCATCTGCTGCTAAACCATGACTTAGCCGTACTACTACTCATCAAGCTCTGCTTGTAGTAGTAGTACTAATTTATTGCCACCAGAAGGAGGAAGAGCAATTTGGAATTGGCTACTAGCTACTAGTAGTACTACGGTGGTGCAGTGGACTACCACTTCCTTTTTCACATGGTAGCCACTCCATCTAAACCCTAGTTTTATCCCATTTTTGCAAATGAAGTACTAGTAGTACTATATTTTAAAAGTACTACTAGTACATTGGCCAGAAACAGATTTTTCGTTTTTACAGAATGATAAAACCTCCACATTACTGGGCCCTCTGCTAGTTTTTGAGGAAAACAGCAGTTGCCAACCAGAACCAAGATAAGGGTTTCCCATATGTTTTAAACAAAGAGAAACAAAGAGAGTATTGTCAGCAAATCCATATTACCTTTGTTTCTCTTTGTTGTAAAAAAATTTGACAAATCGAAGAGAACAAACAACAAGAGGAGAAGTAGTTCTAGCAATATTCTCTTTGTTTCTGTTTGTTGAAACATAAAGAAACAAAGATAATATTGCTTGTTGGGCAATATTCTATTTGTTTCTCTTTCTAAACAGAAATTGCCCCCATCATTTCACCATGTAAAAATAAAGAGAATACTTTAGTAGCTACCAGCACAGCAGCAGCAATTATATTCCTCACTCCTCTGCTTAAAGAACAAGAAAGAGGAGAAACAACAACAATGCAAACATTGCCCAGCAGGCAATATTCTCTGTGTGAAACAACAATGAGTGGTAATATTTTCTTGGTTTCTTTTTGTTACAACAATAAGAAACAATGAGAATATTGCTCTTTTCAAGGAGAAACATTCTCTTTGTTTCTCCTTCTCATTTTGCAGCAGGGTGTACAGGAAACGGAGGGCCCTGGCATTGGGTCATTCCCGATAGTCTAGATGGTCTAAAATTCTAAATGGTCTAGTTTAGACTTTTTAGTTTAAAGGGAATCATTAAAAACAGGGTCCCAATGGACAGTTCTTTAGGCCCTCTTCTACTTTAATGGAATCCGGAATCTCAACAGACGAAATGACTAAGACTGGTTTCAAAACTAAAACTAGAAAAGCGCGCACGCAACGAATTTTTATTGGATAATAATGAGTCATGCAACGGATTTTAATTCTTGGATTCTGGTCTAGATTTAGAAATCTGTAAGGCTGGGGGGGGGCTTACAGAAAGTAAAAAAAATGAGACTAGATGGTCTATTTTTGGTCTGTCTGTCTGTCAAAATTTAGACTTTCTAGACTGTCGGGAATGACCCATTATCTTAGTTTTTGCAATGCAATAACCATTTGCGTTAGCGAGCCAATCATACCGGTGGGATCTTTTGGGACTTGTTTGACCAGAAATTTTATAATGCTTCATTGCGCGGTTGACACGACAATTCCGAAGCCATCAATCAACATCAAATGATAAAAGCATTTGTATTCGTCCTCGATCGAATCCATTGAATTAGTTCGAAATCCCATCTCGCAATACGGCAAAGGCAGCTGTAACAGTTGCATTCTCGTTTTTTTCGCTGAATGCCTATCTCTATCGAAATCCGCTTCACTTCATAATCTTTTATTGTACATGTTCTCAAGGGAAATGAAAATGAAGTCAATTGTCCCCTTTTTGCTTATCAATTTCCTGGCCTTGGCTCTTCTTGCACCRGGAGCTCTTTCTTTTGTACTTCCTGGGAAAGTGCGGCGTCCGGTTGTATCAAGCTCTGGTCTTAGMGTCTCTTTGTCGGAGGCCGATATGAAATTCGATCTGGAGAGTGATCCCGAGAATCCTGAATMTGACGAAAGATTGACGGGCAACGYAGCTCACCACAAACGAGCCAACCAAATCGAAATCATCAAGTACAACAATCGAGCACAGCAACCTAAACGATGGTGCCCATTTTATTTCTTCCAATGCCAAACACAGCGATCAATCAGTAATCCAAGAACCAAAGCCCTTCATATGGATGATGAACTAAAGCGGATAGAATCCAAGTTCTATAGATTGGAAGGTGAGGATCTATCTCAAATCAATTTTCCTCTTGGGTATGGGCTTGACAATTACAACGGAAACGTCGTTAGACCGAATGTGCGAGTTTACGAGTTAGTWACACGGGCCTATTCTAGRGCACACATAGGTCAGGARGGAGTTGATCTCGCTGAAGATGTTGTCGCAAGGTATGAAAAATATTACMCTTCGCAGAAGGCAACAACAAAGATGATGACATTTGTCATGAAAGTGTGCATTTCTGCTGGAACTCTAGAAAGAGCAGAGCATTGGCTGAACCGAATCGAGAAAAGGTACGAGATCACCAGACGTAACGAAGATCTGCCTGGATATTATGTTTACAATCCCTTTATCAAAGGATTGAACACAATGTCGGGTGTTTCTGCGAGAACTGCAGCCAAACGGTCGATGGAGGTCGTAAAAAAGATACATTTGTATTCCAAGTTCACCGAGGATCAACAATTGTTTCCTGGTCGTGCCATATACATAGACATCATGAGCCATCAGGCGAGTGGCTACAGAGGGTATGCAGCTTTCGAAAGAATTCAAACCGTGTTTCGTGAACTGCAGAAAAATTACCATTTGAGCGACGAGCAYCCCAAATTGAAGCCTTCTATCGACGCTGTGGCACCTGTCTTCGTCGCAGCATCGRGTTGCGTGTTCCCTCGCGACGATTTGGTAATCAAATCGGYCAATGTCTTGTTCGATGAGTACCACCGATTATACAAGGAGACAGGAGATGAAGCATTTCAACCGAATGGTACAGTGTGTGACGCRTTGAATCTAATTTACTCGAAAATGAGGCGCAAAGATCTGGATCTAAAGGAGTTTGCGRAAAGGACGATGATTTTGATCGAACGGATGGCGGAATACAACGTGAAATTTAAGGACGACCGTGACAAGACTTCGGCATTCAATCGTATTCTTCTTGCTACAGAAAGCCAGMTACCTAGGATTCCTATGAGTGATCCTTTGAAGACAAGAGAATTGTTCGTCACTGCGTTGGACGTCTTCAAGAAATTCCACGACGAAAGTTCTTCAGATAACGTACCACCAAATAGAGCAACGTATCAGATATTTTTGAGGTTGTGTGCGAAACTGCCCGAGGGCGAGACGCGTTCAAAGTTGTCAGCAAAAGCATTTGAACTCTGCAAGCAGAAGAAACTAGTTACGATCGACACAGTTTCCCAACTCAACGAGGCAAACCCAGAATATGCTTTGTCTCTAGTAGACTCTGCAGACGATTTTGGATTCGATAAGGGCGCCTTGGACTTTYTATCTATGAACATTGCCAAAGAAGACTTTTAGAACCGAGCCAAAGAGAGAACCGAGTTGGACCAAAAAGAAAATAATGCGTAATCTATAACTCCATATGAAATTTGCGAGATACGGCTTCTGTTGTTTCATTTGCTTCGATTCAAACTATCAAAGACTACTAATTACTCTATCATTTTTTTCTCCCGTCAGAAGTGGCCTAACCTCTGTATCTAGAATCGACTGCGCCATCATACAAATCAGGGGCAAGGCTTTCGCAACCTCGTTGGCTCTGGCACTGCTGGCTACACCCGCCTTGGCCCGTTGTGCAACACCCTGGAGTATTCATCAGATTCAAATTCAAACGCGAAAAGATTAGAAAGACTCATGCATGCCGSAACGGGTTTYGATTCTAAAACGTGGAGTGGTCGAGATACATACCTGAACGATCACCGCGTTCTTGAACGTAACAAATGCCAGGTAAAATCCGCTCCACTTTTGGACTTCCTCGAGGGATATCGTTGTGGTTCTGTCGGTTTGTATTCGGTGCCGTGAGTACATCCCAAGGAGTTCCTTTCTCGTGGGAATCGCYAGGGACCGCAGATCGAGGCCGGCGACACCGGATATTGCGGCCTTCTTGCTCTGCGGCATCAGGTACATGACGCATAAATTGGCAAGGTCGCACAGTGAATCGCCCACGGTGCTGAGCTCCCAATCGAGGACGGCAATAACCCTAGGCTCGGTAGGGTGAAAGACGAGGTTGTCGATCTTGAAGTCGCCGTGCAGCAGGGAAATCCGGTTCGGGCAGCCCGCCGCAAACTCCCCGAGCTGGCGGGCGAGGCGCTCRATTTCCGGTGCGGGGGTGCCGGACAACTCTGCCTGCCTCCGGCTCACGGCTTTCAGCCGATCGAGTTGCCGCTGCACATACTTTCCCCCCTTGCCGTAGCTGCCGAGTCCCACCGATCGAACGTCCACGCCGTGCAGATTGGCCATGACCGTCACCACGCTCTCAAAGGCGCGTTTTCGCTCGGTGTTTGTCATCCCGGGCATCGAGGAGTCCGTGTATATTCGGCCGGGCACGAACTCCATCAGATAAAATTCGGCTCCGATCACAGATTTCTCCTTGCAGTACGCATACGGATGCGGGACCGGTACGTGTTCGTCTTTCGTTTTTTGCTGGTTGTGCTTCTGTAGTCCCCTCAACACCTGGAATTCCCGGTGCAGCGCGTGGGCRGAGGGATGGGCCACGGAGGATGGTTTTCTCCGAAGGACGGCGCGGAACGGCGCTGCCGACGGCGCATCCTTGTCGCTGCGACCGATCTGGAGGAGGTAGGTCGGATTGCTCTGCCCGAATCCGAACTGGCGTATCTCCATCGCTTCGCACAGGGCATCTTCGTCCGAAAAATACGACACTGCCGGGTGGAAGGCGAGGACGCTCTTGAGCTCGTCATTTGCAACCATCCATTTTGCCAGGCTGGATTGATCGATCGATTGCCGAATCTTGGTGGTTGCCTGGCCTTCGGGCATTTTCAGTTTGTTGCCTGSCGAAGTGTTTCTCGAGAGCAACGAGAACTGGGTTTCCGTTCATACATCGTCTCGGCTCTGATTCAATTTGCACCCAGAACGATACCTCTTGGGAGTACTGGTACGTACAATGGGTCGTACGAGATGGTACACGTGCGTCGAAAATTTCCATATTATTGATCCTTGTGGAAGGACTTGGGTGCGCTTGATTSAGCGACCGAAAAGCGTGTACCATACGGTACGAATAACGTAGGTTCTGTCGTGCCCCGTTTCTTACATCGCGATACAAGTTTCTAAGAGCCCAATCCTGTACGGTACGGCACGAACTTACCTTACATACGATACAGTACGTACTGCGTACTTTCTCAATTTAATTTTAACCTCAACCTTAGCACTCGTAAAGGTAGCGATTTTATGAAGTTCTATGTGTGTAACCTGTGAAATGCTGATAGGCTCTGTAGTGTATGATAATACGTGGTTTACAATAAAGAGTAAGGCTATTCACTAGCTACTCGTGATTGTGGTATGTGCAGTACCTCACAATCTGGGCCCTGGAACTAACATACGAGTCACGGCAGTCTAAACTTGAAGTACTGGTACGTACGTACGATTCTTTCGAATAACAGTACTTCGTACGAAAAGTTGGTACTGTACAGTAGCGYAAAACAGTACCGTACGCAACGTACGTACTGTAWTTCATTAAATATGAACTGTGACACCAGTTTTTGCCGGAAAAGCGAAAACGGTTTTCCTGGGATACGGGAATGTAAGCGCTACTTTTCGTTTGCAATGAATGATTGTAATAGCATCCTCTTGTTCAAAACAGGTGGCGCATAGGTGAAAAAAGAAAGCATCATGTCTTGCCTCCCATAAAATCGAGTGAGACCGAGTCACGCATCGTATTGCCTMACGCAAGGTCAAGACCTCAAGAGGCCACTTCTTCCATCCGACGCCGTATCCTTTCACTGTACGCTGCTTTGGATCGTTTCATTTTTTTTCATTCGTTTCGTTTTCAAACGTTGTCACTCACCATACTGCTTTGTTAGCAACCTTTTTGATCTATTTCGTAGCTGTCCAAAATCCACCATGGCCTCCAACAACACCAACGAAACCCCCTTTGAATTGCACATGTCAGCCCTCGAAGCCAAAGTGGAAGAAATCGACGCCATTGGCTGCCTAATTATCAAGGGGCTCCCAAGTGACCCCGAAGAAGATTTCACAGAGGAGCTTACGGAAGAGGAGATGGCCACCGTCACCATGGAAGAGTTGAACACCATGCGACGGGTCTTGATCACGAAGAGTCGTGAACAGCAGCTCGAAGAGTTCCACGAGTTTGTCCTGGGGGGGCAGGCGGATAAACACCTCCTATTTTACAACAGGATGTTTGGCGAACGTGTCAGATATAGATTTTATCATTTCAAAGATTGCATGTACAAGAACAAACGATTGAAGAAAAAGTTTGATATGTTGTTTGCCTACACATGGCATCTCATCTGCCACGATAGTTGGATGCATTTGAACTATGGCAATATCGAAGGGATGGTCTCGGACCTCGCTAAGATGTGAAGGGCACTCCTAAGAAAAAGCGACGAGGATCTCGGCATCGACCCAGAGTACACCCGCCCTGGTGTTCTTCAGCTCCTCGAGGACTTCAAGGACCGCGTCGAGTCTGTCGAAGCTGATCCCGAATTGGTATTCCGCTTTGAGTAGACAAGTATCATACTCGCATTGTCCTCACCATTCGTAGATTGCACATCGATTGTGGAAAATGGGCACCGGTCATCGGACTCCAGAAAAGCAAAGAGAAGTATGCATGCGGTAAAATACTACTATAAACTATCACTTTTCTTGCAGACAACATCTCTGATATGGAATGAAATTGATTTTCTATTCTATAATAAGATCATGTGTGTAGGCTACGCAACTCTCGAACTCGCCGAACTTTTGTTCCTGAACGYGGTGAAGCAGGATCACAAAGATAAAAGATGRCATTCTACTCTCTATGCATTTTTCTACGATTTCCTGGGAATGCGGTGCAAAACAACCTTTGTAATAGCCACATTCTGCTTCCTTTCTTCTCTTACCAGCGTCCACTTCAAAACMACGTCCTCTTGAACAAGAGTGCGAAGAAACCTCATCGAGTGATCACAGAGCATCTCATCATTCGACAGTTCCTCGACCTCTAGACTCCCGCAAAGGGTTTTCAGTACACCAGGCTTAGCTTCAAAAACACRAACAGTTTCAGAAGTGTTGTTCGGTGGCAATTGCAGGGAGCAACAACTGGTATCCAAGTGAACCATTGCATTTCTTCTGAAACTCTTACCGCGGTTGTCTAGAATAGCTTCCAAGTACTTGGACGGTATTGAAAACACTGACTGGCTATTCTTCTTCAAAGATATTCCGTTGAGACATAAATCCATCAACCTAGAAATGACCGTATGTTCTCTTTTGGCATCAGTATCCATTGTTTCTTGTGTCTGTATGACATCGGAATCGCTAATACCATCAGTGTGGTTTCCATTGTTCGGATTTGAATTCTTCTCATCAGATACCAAAAGCCCACTAGTCGATCTCGTTGGCACCAGAACAATGTCGCTCGTAACAGTTTCCAAACCTCGAAGATTGCTTTGGTATTCGGTACTCACATTGGTCATCAACAATGACAACGAATTGTGGTCGGCGTTCTTTGACGACCTTAGAATTTCTACGAACCGACCAGATGTGTCAATGAATGGCATCAAAACCCCGGATTCGTCTGTAAAAACRGCAAATGCCGTCGGGGGGAGAGTCATCCGGCTGCGCTTCTTTTTTCGGCTCGAGTCGACCCTGTAACTTATGTTTTTTGCAGCCGACCTGGCAGGTTCCAAATCAACTTGCGTGACTTTGACGCGGACGTTGCTGAGAACCCCGGATGTGAATTGGATCTCGGACAACAGCCGTCTTCGGGTGGGCAAAGCAATATTCGAAGTAGTAGATAGACGGGATATTAGATGGTAGTGTTTGTTGTACCAGCTTGCGAGCTCCRCGATTCTCCCCYTAGAAGTCTTCATAGTTGTTGGTATTCCAGTTGGCGAATAGTTATTATCATGAAACCCACTAYTTTCGTTGAAACACCCCTGYTTATCGATATGKCCCAAACGAAACCAGTTTACTCCGGGTTCATGATCGTAGGAAGAAAACCGAAATTGAGCCAAACCCCTTGGATCAAACTCTTTCAATGAAACTCGATTGAATCGTACAATATCTCCTGCTTTGATGTTTTCTTGATGAATCCTGTCTATCTCGGATGAACCATATAAAAAAAAGCTCGCACTGGTCAAATTTTGCGGAAATTCCTCGCCATGCGCATTAAATCTTGAGTCGTCCACCAACCATATTCGACTCCGTGAAACAAAGTGACGACGAGACGATAGATTGGGTACCAATACTGTCGTAGATGACGTATCTGTTGATATGTTGGTGACAATTCCTAAGATATCGACGGCATCGTTCGTCCCTTCTTCGTTCTCTGTGTAAGTTTTCTTCCGCCGCTGCCCAAGAATCCGGAAAGCCTCAGTAAGCGTAGGGGGAGTTGACATGGCAATTGCGTGTTAGGAATCGTATGACAAACATCGATATAAATGAAAGGAAATAGTTGATAGAAAAGTGCGAAGTTCCTTTTTTGTTTAGTTGTGTTGAAGTGGAATTTGTTTCACTTGGATACAAAGTGTACGGTAGTATTTTTGAAGTGAATTCAGATGAGATAAATTTTGCAGCTCATGTCGAGATCAGTTCCGAGCCCGGGAGGAAGTACGATAAGAGCAGCTAGCTCGTCGTAATCGTATGAAGTTGATGGTCGATGCACGACTGAGGTTTACAAGGTACGAGTTTCATCAGAGTAAAATGCGTTGACCGTATACCTTACTACCACACACAGCAAAAAGGCATTCTACTCAAAGCCACAAGGATGGTAGCTACTCTATAGAAGAGCCAGAGAGCCTCACGGAGTTGATACTGGAGATACTCCCTGTTGATGCAGGACAGTGGGATACTATGGTCACCAACAAGAAGCAYSMTKC